AGTATTTTAAATGTCTGCGGTGGATTAGTTCCAATTTCGATGATTCCGTAGTACTGTAGATTTCTATAATTAATTAGAGGTACGATTGCGTCCGGATCCGAACGGAGTCGTCTCACAGTCTCCGTCGAAGATTTTCCAACGGATGATGTCTTATATAACGGAATCCTTGAAGCAACATAAAAAAAATCCCGTTATATTATATGCGTATATGTATCATATAAACGCGAATGTATGTACATATATCGTACAACATAAATACGAATTTCAAATAATTTATTTGATCATTTTCAAGCACTTTTTATTTAAAAACTATTAAAGCTTCAACATTTTGGCATTAAGAAATAAATGCTATCTGCATTACGCGTTAGAATGTAGTTAGGTATTTTAAGTGAGTTTGGTGTCATCGTGAAAAGAGGATATCACACGAAGCTAATCTCACTTACAATAAAATTTTCGAAGGAATCCTCAAAGTATCTCTTGTAATTAGTTTTATTGCTCACTTTATTCCGACTTTCAAAATGCGTTTTTCTTACAGATTTGATGCAATTATAGTATTTGAAATTGATTTGATAATTATTTATCGCGAATTCTGCAGCGATTCCAAGTAGTTGGAAGCGCGATCTCTGTACGGTATTATAATTCATCGTGTCGATATAAATGTGGATCGTTTTTGTTATAACACATATGTACTCACTTATACACCTCCGCGTTGATTGGCGCGAAGATGATTACCGTGATTACCGTCATCGTCACAAAGAGTCGATACATGATCATGATGTTTCCTGAATTTCTCGACGATTGAAGCTACGAAAGTCAAAATTGTTTCAGGACCGTTAGAGCTGCGAGTCAATCCACAACCGATACGTACAGACGAAGAACAGGCAGTCAAATTGCTGAGCGTTGAGCGTTCCCTTATATACAAATGTGCGTGTATGTGCTTGTGCTTATAAGAAGGTGGGGGCAGGAGGGCAGAAAAACAAGCGAAGCATTCCAAAGCTTTGTGTTCGAACGATATTAGAAATCGCTTCGAGATCTCGGATGGAAAAATAAAATTGACTAATCATATTTAAGCAATTCGGCAATTGACCAATGCGATTGGTCAGTTGCCGAAAATTTTAGAATTTTATCAACATAAAGAATTTGTCAAATTTAAGAATTTTATCAACATAAAGAATTGATCAAATTTAACAATTTTATAAACAAAAAATTTGTCAAGTTCAAGAACTTTATCAACATAAAGAATTTTGTTAGTTTCCAAGAATTTTCTCAATTATCAAGAATATTTTACATTTCCAAGAATTTCTCGAATTTCTGAGAATTCGGGCTTTCAAATTCGGCTTGGTACAATTGTTGTATTCATTAAAGTATTTCAAGATCACAGATCGCGAATTCTGCGGCGATTCCA